AATGTGTCCAAGTAATTTAGAAACGATAATGAATAATAAAAGTTGGTATTTGACGAATCAATAATATTTAACAAGTTTTTTTTTACTATACGGATGAACAGTACCGTACGGATGAACAGTATTTTTTTTAGATCCAGAAATCGATAACAAAACCAACAAAGAAAACGAAAACTGATTTAGGCGAAAATTGAGCCCAAAAACGGAATTTGAAGATTTTTGGTGAAACTTTTGGATCAAAGAATAAAAAAAAACCTTCTGAACACAAGAACACAAGAAATTGAAAAAAAAGATTAGAAAACAAGGATATAACCTAATTAAATTGGAGCTAAAGCTCTGATACCAATTTATGCGAACCCTGTAGCAATGGAAACTACGAAACCCACAACGAGATTGATGTGGAACCCAAGAACGCCAATACTAACCCGGTTTTGGATCTTGAATCCCCAAGAATTGAACCAAGAAACCCTAGATTAGCGAAGAACCTAAAACACCTTGATTACAATTGAACGAACCCACAATCCAATTGATTAGAACGCCACAAAAAGTTGATTCTTGATAAGTTCCAAGATTGTTCAAGAAGAACAATAAATTGAAAGAATAAATTTCTCTCTATAATATTAATTCAAAGTCAAAAGTTCGAAGTTGTTACAATGAAAAGTAATATCCCATTTATACTAATGAATAAAAACGTCCAAAACCATCAAATTATGGTAGTAATTTGATTTCATAAGAATTCTATCGAAACTAGGAAATTCCGCCAAAATTAGAAAATTCGCCAATTTTTTTGGCTGGTGCGGCCGCATGGTGTAAATCCATGCGGTCGCATGGTTCAATAGGAATTAGTCTTTTGGTTTTCGGTATGCATGTGTGTGGCCGCATGTGGTTTTTCCTGTGCGGCCGCATGGTGTTGTCTTCAGCCTCCGCTTTCGTCGCTTGATAACAAATTGATTCAAGTTGATTCGGCCTTCGACCCCAACATAAAAGTTGCTCCATTTCAAGTCCTGAACATGGTTTCATCAATGGTTTCTTGAACGAGCAATCCCATCGCTTGTTTCACTTGCTTTGCCCTTGATCGCGTCATTGGTCCGTCATCAACTATCAACGGGTCTCGTCTCGTATTTGCCTTCGTCGGGCTCGACTCCTGGATCATATCAACTCTGCTACAATGGCTGACCACCTTCATTTTACAATTAAGAGAGGGGATAAAGGGGAATCAATCGAAGCAAATTAAGGTCACAATTTCCTTTCAGTAGCTTATAATATGCTTGATTAACACAAAATATATAGAAGACTCCATTTAACTAAAAGAAAAAAGTGATCTCATCCTAACAATTGAGATTTTAGATGAGGTGATACAAAATAACATAAGTAAAAGATTTGTGTTCAAGTATTTCTTGTTTAGTGATAAGAATTATGCAAGTGTGAGGCCTTTGATAGAAATTCATCCTGCCTCAAATTATGTTTTGAGGATTAAGCGTAAATGTGTTCTAATCACTTTGGTTTTTAGATGAGACAATATAAGACAAAATACTCATATTTTATGTGATGATTTTTCACTAAGGATTATTTCGTACTTGTTTCCAAGTTTGTCATGTAGTTCCATTATAAGATGAACTTCCTCTGTGCTGTAGTTCCCTCTTTTCACTCCAGGCTTGAGGTAATTCATCCACCGTAGTCGGCAACTCTTTCCGCATCTTGCTAAACCTGAAAGATATGCAACATCCGTTATGAAGAGGGTAATCATGATAAATTAAAGTTCATAATTTACAAAAAACTATTATTTTAATTGCTTCAAACATTTAGAGCAAGTATCATTCATAACTGAAATAAATAGCTGATAGGGCTATATTAAATTAATAGCACACTTATCTTAGAAGTAGGTTGAAGGAAATTATGGTCATATTCTATTGATTATGATCCAAATTCCCATAAAATAACAAAATTAATTCATGAAAATAATCCATTTCAATTTACTATTATCGGCTAATTAACAAGGCAGAAAAAACTCTTCTTACTTGCATATTTAGGCAGCAATCGCCAATTCCAGTAGCCATATCTCTGTATGTACGCTCTTAACTTGTTATCTTCTTCTTCGCTCCAGGCACCTTTCTTCACTCCATTAATGTCAACTTTCGAGGGCTTCACCATTTTCTTGCAAAACTTTCTCTGTTGATGCTCTCAAAAGCCCACTCCTTTAATTTGATGCAAGCTGATAAAAACGGATGACTAAGTCTGTTTCATAGAAACTATGAGACTTCTTTAAGCAGTCATTTAACCTAATCGAATATTTTTAATACTAAATACCTATCTTGACCGAAGTTTGAAACCGCCATGAATTTGTCTTACCGATTTAAAATTTTTAAAAGCAAGATAGAATTGAATTACTCAAAAAACTATTATGGATCCTGAAAAGAAAATTCATTGAATATTGCTACTGTATGATAAGATTAATTAAAAAATATTCATTTATTTACAGTTGGTAAAGAGTTGTGTACTCATATATTTATTCCTTTTCTTTTTATTTTTAAACTAAACACATTGGAGGGAAACATATGACTAAGCTTCCTGTACGAAACCATTTCTAAAAATTAAGCTCATGTTTGACAATGAATTTGAGAAAAGAAGGAAATTTAGGAAATGTGGGTCAAAGAGGGGGTGAATAAAAATTATCTCATGTAAACTTTAATTAATATGAAATTTGAAAGTCCAAGGATTCCGAGCTATAGCTTTATTTACGATGAGGATTCTTTATATTAGTCAACTTTTACGTGATTTTGTTTGTGAAGTTTAAACTACATCGCAGGATCGTGTTTTCGGCATTGGACTGAATTAATGTTAGTTTTGGTCCTTACCAGTTTCGGTCCAATTTTTCGTAATTTATTTTTTGGGAGATCATATCAGACAAACCAGCAATTAAGTAGCCAGCAATTTTAATTTATAAAAACTGGTGTCAAATTTGTCGGCCTTGAATTTTTAATGACTTACTATTTATTATTCAAATTAAAAAATTATATTATATTTTAAATTGAAGAAGATGACGTATTCAGCAAAATTGCTTATTTGCGTGAGCAGTTGGCATTTGCAGCACGTTTAGGTTAACTTCTTCTTCTTCTTCTTCTTCTTCTTCTTCTTCTTCTTCTTCTTCTTCTTCTTCTTCTTCTTCTTCTTCTTCTTCGCATGATAATTAAATACACAAGACAACATGGTGATTAAATTTTTTAGTATTCAGCCTTATTCAATCCGCTTTACAAAACATGCTTTCACCCAACATTTTCTGAATAAACTATATTCGTCTGAAAAGAAATTCTCAGAATCACTTTCATCATTTGTAATTATTTAATTCTATTTTATAATTAGTTATTCTGCTCCCATTTATTTCAACCCTTGACTTCGGAATTAACTAAGTTAAATATTGTTTTAGCTGATAATAATAGGATCTATCTTAAACAAATATTTTGAATCAGTCTAAAAAGAAGAAAAGAGAAGAGAAGAAGAAGAATAAAGAGACAAAACAACAATCTATTGAGCAACAAGAATAGGGTTTACAATGAAAATAAAAATAGTTTTTATACTACAAAGAAACCTAAAAATAATAGGAGACCTAAATAAGGAAATTAAATATTATGCTAAATAAAATAAATAAAAACGCGTATATTATCATCCCCCTCAAACTCACGATGCTAAAGCAAGAAGTAGATAGAGTTTGTCACGTAAGAAGTGAAAACGATGAACCGGATGAGATTTAGTGAAGAAGTCAGCAAACTGCAATGATGAAGAAGCAAAATGTAGAGAAATGGTGCTAGACTACAGATGACAACGAACTAGATGATGATCAATCTCAATATGTTTTGTGAATTCATGGAATAAAGAGTTGTGAGAGGTTTGAATAGCACTAGTATTATCACAATACATGGGAGTTGAGGAAGAACGAGAAACACTCATGTCTGCAAGTAATCATCGTAACTAAACAATCTCAGTGGTAATGGATACCATAACTCGATACTCTGCTTCTATAGAGGAATGGGAAACAACAGTCTGCTTCTTACTTTTTCAAGAGATAAGAGAATCACCCAAAAATATGCAAAAATCAGTATTGGACTTGCGATTAATGGGGTCACTGGCCCAATTAGCATCAGGGTGGGCACGGAGCACTAAGGATGAGGTCGATGGAAACAAAAGACTTTGAAAGCATGTACCATGAAGATAACGTAAAATACGAATAACTGCTACCCAATAAACTGTAGTAGTAGTTGAAACAAACTAACTAACAATGTGAACACTATAAATAATATCAGGACGTGTGATGGTAAGATAAATTAGATATCCAACAATAGTGCGATATAAAGTAGGATCAGTTTATGGTACACCGTCAGAGGATGAATATTGAGCGTTGGACTCAAGAGGAGTATCAACCGTTTTAATATTAGTAAGATAAGCATGCTCAATAACATCCATAGTATACTTGGATTGAGAGATAAGATAACCTCTACGAGAAGAAGCAACTTTGATCCCCAAAAAATAAGATAGTGTACCTAAGTCCTTCATTTCAAAAGAATAAGCCAATTCTGATTTCAATCCAACAATTCCATCAACATCATCACTAATAATAATCATATTGTCAACATATAGTGTAACACCCAAATTTTATTATAAAATAGGTATGGGTCGTTGCCAAAAACTTACTTTTATTTATTTTAAGTACCAAATGGAAAGAATAAGATTCTTAAGTAAACAAGATACTAGAACATTCATAAATTAAATTTAAATTATCGAAATATACGTGATCAACAAACAAATCAAATAACATGTTTTTTTACACGAAACCAACTAGTAAATTTAAAGGCGGTTAAAGAGAGACACAAAATAGCCTAACGAAATTGTTTTTGAATGATTTTTTGAAAAACAATTTCTTTACTTAACAACCCGTGCACCGTTCAGCCATCATCCACGTCGACTCTATTGACCTGAAATGTTGAAATTAAAGGAGTGAGTAATTACACTGAATAGGATACGTACGTCCGAACAATATGATAACTTTTAACACGTAAATTCATAACATTTCATACCATCATTTCATCAAGAGCAATCAGTGAGAAAGCTCTAGCACATTTGAGAAAACCCAAAGGCGATCTCACATTTCATTTCATTTCTTTGAGACCCACAGGTCAAACATTTCATTCCATTTCATCGAACCCGCAGATCAATAAGCATTTCATGAAATAAATCAGGCATAAAAATCATAATATTGAAAGGACATATCACTTGCACATAAAAGTATCCTACCTCTTTTGATAATAAAATTGTTGGAAGTAGAAAATTCACATTCCCAAAACCTTTCGCCGTTGCCAAGTCTATATGCTGAGAAAATTATCGAAAAATATATTTTATGATAAATCATGAGTTGATTGATGATTGCAAAGCAAAAATCAAGATTTTGGATACTGTGAGGGTGTGAACGTGTAGCTGATCAAAGTGAGTGTAATCCAATGCAAAAGTAAATATGCATAAGAAAACATTATTTTAAACTGATGACGTCTCATAAGTATAATTGGTGCTAATCACTTAGCAAGGCCCCTTTTTATACTATTAAATCATTTTAAATGCAGTGGTCAATCTAGGTAAGAAGTCTTCATTTTCGACCTAATGATGATAGATAATTAGGCACAATTTATGCTAATTAATTTTTAACATCCAAATTTACTTCATTTACTTAATTAACACTTTAAATTAGTATTTACCAATTACAAGATTATAATGTTCTCCACATGCTATTTTTACATTAAATGATTCAAAATACACGTATTGAGAAGAGACAATATTTTAACATGATTTCTAAGTTGAATCCTAAAGTGAGACGAATCGTGAGCACGTAATAACATATAAATATAATTATTATAAAAAAGTTATAAACATATCGTAATTAAATTAATAGGCACATCGATTGTTCGTCCAAGGTACGTTTAACTGTAAAAATATAATTAGTCACGTGAAAATAATTATATCAAATAAATAACAGATGCAACCTAACCAACAGAATCTCGTCAATTAGTTCTGTTAATCAATCCAGTTACAAAACTCCTTGTTTGGATATCAATCAAATTAAATTAATTAAAATCTATTTAACATAAGAATAATCAAGTTTGCGTCAATTTACATAAAATGACAGGTTATCATATAATAACATAACATCATATAAAATGAAATAAATAATTATATAATGTATTATAAGCTTAATTGGACTATATACCCAAAATAATTAACTTTGATGCGGATGTAGAATAATTTGTCAGAGGCCCAAATCGTGTCTTACCATTAGACTAGCAATTTGTGAGAAATTTTCTTAATATGAAATAAGATATTTAAGGGCATTGTTAATTACAAACTACCCAGTCGTAAATGTGAAAATATTACAAGTCACATGCATATGCAAATTAAATTGATATTTCTAGGTAATGATCTCCAAAGTTTCTATAATTATTGATTAACTGTAATATTTATTATAGGAGGGTTGAATGAAATTCTAGCACTAAGGCAAGTTTTGCTCCCTTAAAATACATGTGCATGATCTATCAAATGAGTTGGACGTCAAGACAATTAAATTCCCCAAACCTTATACTGGAGCTAAGACACGTAATCCCATCCCCAAAGCCAGGACACTAATGGTTAATCATAAATAAAATAAAAATTTTGAGGCATTACATATAGCAATAATAGAATGCGACCAGCTAAAGAGCATCTAAAGAATAAAGCGGAGTCATGATGAAGGAATGTAAAACCATTAGAGCTAACAATAGTGGAAAATTTCTCAAATCAGGCACGAGGTGCTTGTTTGAGGCCATAAAGTGCCTTCTTGAGTTTACAAACATATCTAGGAAAGTGAGAAGATCAGGATGAGGAACCATGTAAACCTCCTCTTGAAGATTTTCATTTAAAAAGACATTTTTGACATCCAATTGAGAGAGAATTCACTGACATTCAAAGAGGATCCCAAATAGCTTCTTTATAGAAAGATGGTTCAATTAACTTATGAATGGATGTTAAAAAGCAGCAAAATGACTCAGAATAACAAGAATAATCAAAATTATGTAACTGAGTGGACTTATGAATATGTTGAGGATATTGAGGAAAAGATGAAGTAGGAGCTAGAT